AAAAAAAGAAATCTACCCCTTCTAGTTCGCGGCGAAGGGCTCTCTACAGTGGTCTCAGTAAAGACCCTACTCTCCAAGCATCAGTGTCAGGCGCATCGATGCTGACATCATTATCGCTTCATCTACGAAACACAGTTGAGATAGCGCAAGTGAAACCGGGAAAAAGAAGAAAAGTCCACAACTAAGAACGTTGTTCCCAGAGGCAAACATGGATGAGTGACAAGAGATCGTAATTCGCCGCGCTGGTGGGCGTCGCGTGCGACGTCGCGCCCGCAAATGACGATGGTTCCAGGTAGTAGATGGCGACAACCTCAAGACCGAAAATAGTCATGAATGTCTACGATGACGGGGTCTACATGAAGTCCGGTGCTCCAATCGACAGGTTAACACGAGTTAAGAAAACGCCGCGCCCATCGCGGAGCGGCAAATTACGATTCTCTTGCCCGTCTCCCGGCAAACATAACTCTCCTTCGTCCACCGACCAAATACCACCCCTACGCTGACCAACCCCAGCGTATGACGGGATAAGTCTGCTAGAGCGGTTGCTGTCAAGATGCCATCGAGAAACGCGTCCATGACTGCCCTTTGCCAGCCGCATACTCGTCCACCGCGCTGCATAACAAAGGTCTTTCCGTTGGTTTTTGACCGTTTCACTTCGTTTTTCCGTCATTCTCTCACTTTCTGGAGCCCTGTAACACAGCCGTCTGGTCATTTTAAACTAGGCACGGTGGTGTAGTGGCAAGTGGCACGCTCACCACGCACACGTCTGGGGATCAAATCCTGGATTGCTCCGGCTAAGGCCAACCAAGCCTTCTACCCTCCGGGGACGGTAAATTGGTACCAGATTCGTCTGGGAGGATAAAACACTGACTTGTACATCGGCTGGCCCCGCAAGTCATTGTATAGGCCACATCGCATTCAATAAGCCACTACGATTCTGAATGGAAGTAGAATGCGTGCCGCATCCCACAAAGGGATTGATCAACGGCGAAGAGTTATCCTTTATCCATTACACTTCTGACGTACTGTGCCGAATTTTAACTTTTTGATGAAGATTTTCTTTCAGGTTTTTTTTGTGATATTGTGATGCTGTATTGTTTCTCCTCATCAGAATGCATGAGAATGACTGATAAGTTGATTTCAGTATGAGAGAAAACGAGGTTCACACATGCCTTATATGTTCCGTCTTCCATTCGCACAAGGTGGAGTTTTTAGCGCTAACATGCTGGATAGACTGCTTTATCAGGTGAAACTTCAACAGCGAAAATTGCGAAGTCACATGTTATACGCTTTGAAATCCTTTCTGTTGAGGCCATCATCAAGCCGTACGTTGTGACGCTAACGCGATTACTGCTTGGCATCGATCAATCTGCTGGAAGTGGCTACCTTTCCTCGGTATGATCTTGCTTCTTATTTTGACTTTTACGATATTTTTGTGATAGCAGCAAGTTGTTTCCATTTTGAATGAACAAACTTTCAAATTATCGCAAGCGCTAGTCGTGGCTTAGTCTCCTTACGGTAACACTTCACGTTTAAATACGCGCACGGACGGGAGACGGACAAAGGAATCGTAAGTTGCCGCTTTGTCGCGTGCGGCGATGGGCGCCATGCTTCCTTGATTCGCCCTACCATTTCGATTGGAGCAGGGATGTCACGTAGACAGGGACACTGTAGACACTTGTGTGCATTATTGGTCATACATTGTCTATTCTCGACCAATACCACCTATAGCGGGACAGACGCACGCGCCGCCCACTGGTGCAGCGCATTACGATTCTCTTGCCGCATCCCCACATGCGATGCCACCTTCGTCGTCCTGCCGTCAGCCGGATCTCCCAACCCTTGCCCTATAACCACCCGATCAGCTCGTCAGAATTCATTACCTAACAAGGCGATATCTTACAGTGGACAACAGTTTCTGTGTGCGTTACGTTTTCTATCAGATTGCCCAAAACAATCACGAAAAACACGCATGGGAAATGGAAAAGGGAGGGAAAGAAGAACACCTGCCACAACAACTTTCACATACTCTGGCCCATTGGGATAATATGTATGTTTTATCGCCGCAATCAGTCGGCGTGTGTCCGTGGGAGCGGGCAAGAGAATCAGTCAACAATTGCCGCTTCGTCGCGCGCGGCAGTAGACGCGATGTTTCCTTGATTTGCACTACCCTTTCGTGTTGCATCGAATTTCATGTAGGTAAGGAAATGGTAGGCCTTTATGCCTACATTTGGTCATAAATTGCCTATTCTCAACCATTACCACTCAAAATCGTCGTCATTAGCGGGCGCGACGTCACACGCGATGCCCACTTGCGCGGCGAATTACGATTCTCTTGCAACATACTCGGTGTCAAGAGATGTGGATTGAGGCAACCCGGGCTGCTTTTCCAACAATAGGGATCGGTAAGTGATCGACTTATGAAGAAAACGACTGGTGAAAATGCCGCCAGTGAGCTTATCCCGTGCGTTCTGACAGCGCCCGGCAAACTGAAACGATTTCAGTTGTGGCTGATGTGAATTTAGGGTCATAATGGCGTGCCAGTCTTCAAACTGGAGTATGAGACTTTTTCTGTATTTTGCCACAGGCAGTTGCTACCTTTGAGACCCACGGAGGCAGGGTTTTGGGCGGAAATGGGAGAGGAAGAAAAAATGAACCATCCCAATCCGGCCGGTTATATTTCCTATAAATTCACCCACTGCTTCATTAATGCGTTAATTCACGGCGAAGACTATTATTCGACAAAAATCACCGGTAGTTTTTTCGGTTTGACTCACATATACCCCTCCCCATTTCCCCCCCCCCCTCCCCCCAGAAAGCCTGATTCTCCCAGGGAATACCCATGATGGGAAAATTCGTTTTGGGGGTGCGGATCGGGATATATCTAAACTCCGGCGCGAGAGGTAACGCTGGGTGATGTAGTGTACGCGGCATTCGCAAAAGGGCCTAACCGATCTGATAGAAGAGTGCTACAGTAAACCGGGTCAACTGGCAGAAAAAAATACCGCGTGTGGCGAGCTACCACACCTGCTTACCATTGCACGGAATTCCTGACCCAGATCCCATTCCAGATGAGCTTCGAGCTTTTTATTAAAGCTTCTTATGTCATACAATTTAAAATTGTGACTTACTTCGTAAACAACTGAAAATGCATTGAAGGTGTCGTTTTTTATCGCGTTGAGAATAACTCCAAAAAAATACAGGAAGTCATCGTATTTTAGCAGATGGGTAGTATTCCAGGTGGTGGTCACATCTGAAGATCTTTGGATCAAGACATATGGACAACTCTATAAGAGATTATGTTCATCGGGCGCTAATATTCCTCTAGGAATATTCAGAACGAAGAATATGGACAGTAAGACGGTAATATTCCTTTGATATTTCCGCTGATCGCTTGCATTCAGTATGTGTATTCAGGTCTCTCATGAAATGGAGGAAAGGTGTCACTTAGTGGATGCTTCACAGCTCGAAATGGCTGTCGAGCGAAGGAAGGAAATGCTGAATCATATCAGAACGAGAATGAGAAACTTGGGAATAACAGATGATGCAGAAAGTGAGTGTTTAATGAAACTGAGCCGCACCATAGATGGACTAAATTACGCAAAAGATTGAAAACAAAACGCACGCTTTCCTGACTGAA